GCTACAGTGCATCCACCAACCCAGCAATACCTGACACCTCACTCCCAGTGACATATCCACAGTTACAAATGGATCCAGAAAATTAACCTTATTCTGTAACTACATGCTCTCTCTCTCTCTCAGGGACCTGCTCTATACGTAACATACTTTCCCGTGACTCCCAGGCTAGTTCCCTAGGTACACTGTGCCGTGGGTCTGGTCCCAGTATGTGGAGAACAAGCCACAAGCAAAGGTGCCAGGCACTGAACCCCCTTAAATACCAGAGTAGACATCGCCCTACGTCAAGTCACCCATACCCCCCCCCCCAACCCCCCCCCCCCCCCCCCCCCCCTCCCTGGCTGGTTGGCTGCCTTACACAATGTACAGTTGTCCCCAGCAACGATAATATAGCCGACACTAGACAGCCAAGTACATGCAGGACCAAAATGTACAGTAAAGTATGGTTCCCGTGCAAACTTGTAGATCCCTGTGGATTGTAGTATTTTTAGATAAGATGGTATGTCAAATGCATCCAAATGAAAATATGACTGTGGCAGGCAGACACCATCTACTTCATTGCAAGCCTTCTAGTAGAAAGAGGAAGCGAAGCAAGTACATAGCAGAAAATGGAAGAGAAGGCGTCTCTGAGTGCAGACCGTCATATATTTTTATTAAAACAAAGTAAAATTGCACGCACATGAGTCAGATAAGAAAGGTGAGTCCATAGACCGGTGGGAAGTACTCCACCACTGCTGTGTTCATCGCTGTAATAAGCAATTAGAGTGTAAAAAAATCCCTGGACATTCCCCCCAGAGTAGTATGGTGTCACTCCAGTGTTTTTACATGCTGTTGCCAGAGCAAGTGCAGTGCCACTATGGTGACATCATACTGCTCTGGCGGTGATCATGTGCAATGGCTTGCTGCTCCAATATCACTGTATGTCAGAGCCATCAGCTATTATCTCTGATCACTGCAACAACTGAACAATATCACCAGAGCGGTGCTGCCAGTCAGTATCTCCAATCACCGCCGCACCAGTCAGTGTCCCTAATTACGGCCACCCTCTCACAGTGTCCCTGATCACCACAGTCCACTCACAATGTCCCTAAACATTGTCACCCACTCACAGTGCCCCTAATCACCTCTACCCACTCACAGCGTCCTAAATCACCGCTGTCCACTCACAGTGTCCCTAAACATTGCCACCCACTCACAGTGTCCATAATCACCCACCTCTACCCACTCACAGCGTCTTCAATTACCGCTGTCCACTCACAGTGTCCCTAATCACTGCCACCCACTCATAGTGTCACTATTTACCACCACCCACACACAGTGTCTAATACCACAGCCCAGTCATAGTGTCCCTAATCACCGTTGCACTAGTCATATTGTCTCTACTCACTGCCACACCAATTACAGTGTCCCTGATCACTGCAACACCAGTCATATTGTCCCTAATCACCTCCACACCAGTTACTATGTTACTGATCACGCTATGCCAGTCATAATGTCTCCGATCACTGTCACACCAGTCATATTGTCCCTAATCACCTCCACACCAGTTACTATTTTACTGATCACGCCACGCCAGTCATAATGTCTCCGATCACTGTCACACCAGTCATATTGTCCCTAATTACTGCCACACCAGTTACAATTTCCCTGTTCATCAACACATTAGTCCCAGTGTCCATGATCATCACCACATCAGTCATATTGTCCCTGATCACTGCCACAGCAGTGCAGTGTTGCCTCTGCCTGCTGCCTGCTGCCTATACTAAACCTGGCCTGTTTATTGACCATGTCTCTGCCTGCTACCTGAACTGACCCATCTGTACATCCAAGTTAATACTTTCCTGTGAGATACCAGGCCAGTGAACATGGCATTCCTGGGAGCAGTCATGTACCAGTAGGCTCGTCTTGTTAAGTATGCTTATGATATTTTATTGACTGACAACTTTGTGTAAAAAAAATACATTTTAATTTTCTTTCCTGCATTTTCCAAAAACTTGTGGTGAAAAATTACATTTTCAAAAGATCCACTATGCTTTGCAGAAAATACCTTGGAGTGTTTGCTTTCCAAAATGGGTTCGTTTTGTGGGTGTCCCGGTGATCCAGGGCCTCCATAATTTGATAGGTAGTCAGGAAATTAGATTCATAATTTATGCTCCTTGAAAGCCCAAAGGTGCCACTTGGATTTTGGGAGCCTCTAGGCAGTGAAAAAGTCTCACACATGTGGTATCTCAGGAGGCACAGAGGAATGTATTTTTGGGTGTGATTCTAAGTATGCCTATGCATTGTGTGAGAAGAAACTTTGTTAAAATGGCAACTTTGTGAAAAAAAAATATTTAAATTCTTAATTTTCCAAAAATTCATGACAAAAAATTACAACTTCAAAAACTCACAGTGTCTCTTACTAAATACTGTACCTTGGACTGCCTACTTTCCCAAAAAGGGGTCATTTTAGGGGACTGGTATTTGTACTCACCAGACATTTTAGGGCCTCGATAAATGAGACAGGCAGTCAGCACATCAGGATCAGGGCCGGATCTAGCCTGTCTGATTTGGGGGTGCAGTAAAAATGTAAGAGGGGGCAGAAAATGCAAGGTCAGCAGGGCAGTGTATAAGAATCAGTGGAGCAGTGTACAGGGGGTCGGCAGTTTGTAGGGCAGTGTACAGGGGTCAGCATGGCAGAGGACAGGGGTCAGCAGGACAGAAGATAGGGGTCAGCTGTGCAGAGGACAAGGGTTAGCAGGGCAGGGTACAAGAGTCAGCATTGCGGAAGACAGTGGTCAGCAGAGTTGAGGACAGGGTCACTGCTGGCAGGTCACTTAAGAGATTTCCTCCTCCCCACAAAGCACATAGCTAAGATCAGTATCCCTCCACACAGTGTATAGCTGGCTACTGTAGCTGCCAATCCAAGCAGGAAATTTCACAGGTCAGAAATGCAACTGCAGCCAGCTACATATTGTGCAGAATGATGCTGTGGGGAATCTGATCTTAGCTATGTGCTATGTGGGGAGGAAAAGATCTGTTGAGTGCCTTGTGTGCAGTCTGGGCAGTGCTGGGACATCATCCAGCACTAAAGGTGAAGGTGACAAATTGCGCCCCCCCTCCCAAAAAAAATCCAAAACAGCACTAATCAACACGCTCACCCCCTAAGCATAAATCCCTTCTCCAAGCTCAGATTGTACCCAAACAAAAATACAAAAATTCCCCATACTCACGGTCCAAACCCCCCTTCCAGCACAAATCTTTGCCCCCCAATCCACCTTCCAGCTCAAATCCCCCCAATCCCTAACAAATCTTCCATGCCCCAAAATTACCCATCCTAGCACATATTCTCTTTACTTCTAAATCCCCCCTCCTAGTACAAACCATCTCCGCCAAATCCCCACTCCTAGTACAAATTCTCTCCCCAATCCCCCCTAGTACAAATCCCCACTCTTAGAGTAAATCCTTTACCAAATTCCCCCTTTTAGTACAAATTCCCCCCCCCCCCCCCCTCCTAGCACAAATCCTCTACCCAAATCCCCACTCCTAGTACAAATTCTCTCCTAGAATCACCCCTCCTAGTACAAATTTCCCCCACTCCTAGCACAAACCCTCTCCCCCAAATGCCCACTCCTAGCATAAACTGCTCCCCTCAAATCTCCCCTTCTAGTACAAATACTCTCCCCTAAACCACCCCAATCTCAGCACAAATCCTATCCCCCAGTACAAATCCTCCTCCCCAAATCCCACCTTCTAGTACAAATCCTCCCCAACAAATTCCGAAATTCTAGTACAAATCCCCCCCAATCCTCCCTTCTAGTACAAATCCCCCCTTCTAGTACATATTCCTCCCATCCCCCCTTCTAGTACAACCCCCCCAAATTCCTCATCCTAGCACAATCGCCTACAAATTACCCTTCCCAGCACAAATCCCTGCATACCCAAATCACTCTAGTAGCACATATCACCCCCAATTCCCCCCACCTAACATTAATCCCCCCTCCCCCCCCCCAGTACAAATCTACCCCCCTCTCAAATCCCCCTCCTAGCGCAATCTCACCCCCCAATTCCCCCCTCCTAGCACAAATCTTCCCCAATCCTGCCTCCTAACACATCCCTCCCCCAATTACCCTTCCCAGCACAAATAATCCCTCCTCCACGAGCTCCCCCTCCCCCAATCTTACATGCGGGAACAACAGGAGTAGTGAGGAGATGCCAGCTTTCTGTGATCTCCCCTCCTGTCATAACAGCGATCCTCCATACAGCAGGATACATAGGATCGCTATTACATCCGGCAGTACACTCCTCCAAAGAGTGCTCAACTCTTGGATATGTGGATGGGGGTGTTAATAAAGCTGTGTACCGTTGGATGTATAGCGATCCTATGTAACCTGCTGTACGGAGGATCGCTGGTATGACAGGAGGGGGAGATCACAGAGAGCCCGCATCTCCTCCCTGCTCTCTCCTATCTGCCGCTACTGTCAGGACTGATTACTTTAGATGTGGCTGGCCGTGATTGCAGGGGGGGGGGGGAGCTCAACGGACACTGCAAAATGTACGTGGGAGGAGGGGGCACAACTGAAATCTGGGGGGGCACAACCCACCCCAGCACCCCCCCTTAGATCTGGCCATGATCAGGATTGATTAATTTTCAAATATACCATATATACCATAGTTTGTAGACTATATAACTTTCACACGGACTGAATAATATAGACTGATTTTGGTTATTATTACCAAAGAATTGTAGCAGAATACAATTTGATCTTAATATATGAAGAAAGATTATTTGTTTGCAAAATTTTATAACAGAAACTAAGATCTTTTTTGTTCACAATTATTTATATTTTTTGTTTATATAGCAGAAATAAAAAAACCCAGTGGTAATTAAATACCACCAAAAGAAAGTATTAACCTGTTCCCCACTGCCCTGAACTACTGGTACAAGGTGGCAGGGTTGCAAAAATCACACATATATATGTGATTTTGCATTTTCCGGGTAGGGGGAGCCTTACCCATGCCACCATTGACGGCTACAGCTGTCGATCACCGGGTCCCTGCCGGAGATTCCCCGCCAGCACCCAGTGATCACTGAGGAACAGAGAAATGGGAGAGGTCTGTGTGTAAACAACACATATTTCTCCCCTGTCAGCACTGCCATGCTGCTTTGTATTGCTCTGCAAACAGCACACAGTTAACCCTTTGATCTCCCCAGATGTTAACCCCTTCTTGCCTAGTGCCATTAGTACTGTGTCAGTGCTTTTTATTAGCACTGATCACTGTATTAGTGTCACTGGGGATGTCAGCGGCAGTTGGTCAATTCACCCCCAGTTTCAGAATGCATGCTGCAGTCCCGCTATAATTCGCTGATCACCACCATTTCTAGGATTTAAAAAAAAAAAATCCAGTATATATACTGCCATTAGTAGACGCTATACGTTTCATGTAAACCAATTAATTTACATGTACTGTATTGCAATTTTTTTTTTTTTGCAAAGACATGTAGTAGAATACATTTTGGCCTAAATTTATTAAGTAATTTGATTTTTTAAATATTTTTATTTGATATGTTTTATAGCAAAAAGTCAAAAATATATTTTTTTTTTCAAAATTGTCAGTCCTTTTTTGTTTATAGCGCAAAACCTCACAGGTGATCAAATACCACCAAAAGAAAGCTCCATTTGTGGGAAAAAAAGGACATAAATTTCATTTATGTACAACCTTGCAGTTCCCCCCAGTGTCAGAATACCTGCCGCAGTCCCGCTTTAAGTCGCTTATTGCTGCCATTACTAGTAAAAAAAAAAAAATGCTATTATATATACCACCATTTGTAAACTCTATAACTTTCACCAATTAAACCAATTAATTTACAAATATTGGTATTTTTTTTAGCAAATACATGGAGCAGAATACATTTTGGTCTAAATTTATCACGAAATTAGATTTTTACAATTTTTTTACTGGACATGTTTAATAGCAAAAAGTAAAAATATTGTTTTTTTTTTTCAAAATTGTTGGTCTTTTTTCTGTTTATAGCAAAAGAAAGCTCTATTTGTGGGAAAAAAGGACATAAATTTAATTTAGGTGCAGCGTTGCATGACTGCGCAATTGTCAGTTAAAGTAAAACAGCGCCATATCGTAAAAAATGGCCTGGTCAGGTAAATCCTCTGGAGGGCAAGTGGTTAATTATGAACAGTTATAAACATTCACATTTTTTCCCATGGAGAAAGAAAGCATTCCCACATGGCTCAACCCATTGTATTAATATACTACACCAATGCTGTTGTGATCAATTAAAAGAGAATAACAAAGGACACAACGGTTCTTTACATTTCTTAAGTTCATGTTTTAACCACTTCAAGTCCGCACACTTTTGCCCCTTCCTGTCCAGGCCAATTTTGAGCTTTCAGTGCTATCACACTTTGAATGACAATTGCGCAGTCATGCAACACTGTACCCATATGATACAGATAAAGCTTTATTTTGGTGGTATTTATTCTATTGGTGGTATTTTTTTTGCTATGTAAATGAAACAGTCCAAAAATTTTGAAAAATAGTTTTTCTTATAAAATTTTGCAAATAAATAATATTTCATCATAAATCTTGGCCAACATTTATTCCGTTATCTTTTTAGTAAAAAAATAAATAACCCGTATTAGTTTATAACCAAAAATTATAATTTTTAAACTTTTTTTTACATTTTTATTTTATTTTTTTATATTAGTTATGTTTTTTTTTTTAAACATACTGTCACCCTGGCAGTACAGTGTCACCATGGTGACACTGTACTACTTGTGGGGGGGTGATGAATATTTTTTTTTTTTTTTACACTGATTGCTTTTACACCTATAAAGGCTGTAAAAGCAATAATTTCTCCTTCTCTCTGGCTGCATTCTTGCAGCCATTGAGAACTACTGTGTGAGCTGTGATTGGTCACAGCTTGTCACATGGTACAAGGCTGTAGTGAATAGCCTTGTACCATGTGACCTCTGTGATCATTCACAGATTTCACACGTAGTAAGCAATGATGTCAGAAGTGACATTTTGCTTACTACTCTGCATGTGATCACTGATTGGCCAAACAGTGATCACATGATTGGGACCTCGCACAGAGGTCCCGTACAACGATCAGTGTTCCACTGTGTCCGGAGGACACAGCAGGCACCGGATCGCGGTGCTGCTCGCTCCCAGCGAGCGCACACAAGCAGGGGGCAGGGAGGCCATTTATAAACAGCCACCCGCCCCTGCACTGCCACCGTCCGGCTGTTTATATACAATGGCCGGATGGGAAGTGGTTGAAGTGGAAGTAAACCAACTTTGGTAACTTTTACCTAAAGGTAAGTCTTTACTAAGCTTACGTGTAGGTGCTGTAAATATCTCCTAAACGTGCACCGTTTAGGACTTATTTACTGTAGAAGCGCCGGTAACATCACCGGAATGCCGTCCATTGAGAGAGCTATGCCGCGGCCAAAACTCCCTTTGCACATGCGTGGGAGTGTCGACATCACGGCTCAGCCAATAAGATGGCAGCAGCTTGCGAACCCGAGGGGGAGGTATCAGGGAATTGATCTGCAGAGCCATCAGCCCTGACCTAAAGTCACTTGGCTGACTCATACCAGGCCACTGTCCTGCCTAACTAAAAACCTAACTAGCTCCCCCTGGCTAACTAGAGGGGTGTTACATTAACATGTAAACAGAAAGTGGCAGAAATGGCTTGGAGCTGAAGTGGTTACAATGACAAAACAGATGTGAGACAAAACATATACCACAATAACAAGTTACAACAAGGATAGAAGGATTCTACCAATATAGGCTCCCAATCTAGATATAAGGGATAATAAGGTATGATGAATAAACGATTTGAATCCAGGAGAGGAGGAAGTAGTACCAGATGAGAAATGAAGAGAACTTTTTAGGTCAGATTATATACTTACCTGGAGAAGTAAGGTTTAACCTCCCTAGCGATCTGATTATGTCCATATTTCTGTGCTCAAAGCGGTACTTTTTTTGCATGGAAATATGTATTTTTTTATTGTAGGCCTGTAATTCTTAGGAATAACTCGCTGAAATCTGTCTGAACAAGAGTCTAGTAAACATCCCGAGTATGTTAAAATTTGAAAAACTAAATCATAAATTATAATTTAATAAAAAATCATAAAAAATAATAGTATAATAATAATAAATTTAATTCAATAATATAATCAAACCAAAAACACTGAAATTTAAAATATAGCGCCAAGTTTGCACATCACTGAGCAAAGTCGCAAAATCGTTTTCAGTGTCTGATAACAAATTTCCCCACGAATCATTATCACTCAATTCTGCAAGTAGTTTACTATCGCTGTTCTCTAGCTGATCTAAAACTGATTTTGACCTAAAGGGACGCTTTTTGGATGCCATGGACATTTCTAAGTTTCCAGGCAGAAAGAACAGTAAAAATGCAGGCAGGGCACAGGACAAAGCACTAGGGACAAAATGTATGTGAAATGGTTTGATACAGTAATGTTTTACTATGTGATTTTAGTGAATTTAATGAACGTCACTTTTTGTCATTTTCAAATTTTACGCCATTCCTTCCCCCGTACGTCCCGACGTCGCAGGGGACGGAACCCAGAAGACAGATGCCGGCATCCGCCAGAGGATATTGCCGGGAACACTGCAGAGGGACATCGGGGGGAGCGCAGGACGAGGTAAGAGAAAAACAAATCCGGTAGCAGCACTGCATGGTAAGCCCAAGTGTAGCTCAGGGTTACCGCTTGTGGTACTGAAACTTTACCTCAAGCTACACTCAGGAATACCGCCAGGGAGGCTGCGGGTATGCTTTATAGTTTTCAAGGCTGCAGAACCATATCTAGTGATATTAAGAAGATGTATGGCGTGGCTAAATATTGTACAAAAGTAAAAGAGTTAGGAGTTACTGTAGGAAAAAATACATTTTTCTCTGGAGTTACACTTTAATGTTTGGCTGTATCAAGTAACAGTGTTTCAGGGTCGATAATAACATGAGAGTTTAAATCTTGTAAATGTCAGCAAATTCTAAGTGATATATGAATGCCTTTTTTAGAAAAGTATTTACCTTTTAGGGTTACTTTTACTCTTGAACCAATATATGTAACGGTTATCTGTCTTTTCTGCTATACACAGCTCTTAATGTACAGTAAAGTTGCTTTCATATGCTATTTTTTTTTTTTTTGCTCCATCTCCAAGTTCTATGAGTGTTCGCCACAAAAATGATTACCACATGTGCTGACATGACATTTATTGAGTGCTATAATAGCCCTGGATAATAGGATAATAAGATACAGTGTAATGCATTCTAAACACTGAGAACAAATATATAATGTGACTGGAGAGCTCCCAACTGATTGGAAGTGACAGGGTGTGGAAGCACACAGGAGTTTTCTCTAAAGATGATACTGTCTTTCCCCTAATAGTAGTTATTTTTTTTGTATCAACCATATATTTAACTTCTGGGGGTTGCCAGGTTAAGTCAGCATGGTTCCTGTATAATGCTGTATACCTTGTACACTGAAGTTCATTGTACTAGGTATACAAGACATTTTTGTTGTATATTAAAGCAAAAATGTTGTGGGCTTTTTTTCTGAACACTGCATTTTATATTTAAATACAGTGCAACTCAGGTGAGGGGCTGCTATAGAACTGCTTTACCTGCTTAGTGTATGGATCTCAATGGGACCTGCTGTGTCCAAAAACCACAAAGAAAAGCAAGTTAAGTCAGCCTCTGAACAGTCATCTACACTACAGTGGAGTAAATAGAGATCTTCAGAAAGTGTGCTTCAAACGACACAGCCAATGCAGAAAATAAATCCTATCTACACAAGCGGAACTTTAACTGTAACAACTTAATAAAAAATAATGTCTTCTTTAGCAAGGAACATACATTCAGCATTAATAATTATGTTATCAAAATAAGTGTGTGCTATAAATTGCCTCCAGCATTGCTCCTATTCTTTTTGCTAAAGCCCAGAGCCCCTGAGCAGCAGTAAATCTTTAGGCTGTCAGCAGATAAGCTTCTACACATTCAGCACAATGTCAAAAAATAGAGATCAACTGAGCATATGCAGAGCATGGAGAAACAGTGTATCACTGGAGTTTATATAGTATGAGCACCTATTTTTAATATTTTACATACTATACCTGCAAAAAGGGGT